GGGAAAAGAGAAGCTCAAGATGGTCTTCAATGGTGGTCTTCTTCTTCTCCAAGTTTCCTAGGTCTCCAAATCTCCTTTTTCACTTCTCCAAGGTGTTGAGCAAGCACGAGCCGTGACGAGAGATGGGTTCTGCAGACGCATCCACTCGTAGAAATACAAGCAGCTCTTCACAAAACCACATTGACCCATCAAGAGCAAAGCCTCTATGCAATCCCTCTGACTCACACGCCCTTCGAAGCCAGACAACATCTCTCCCAGTGTTTGATTCTTCGACAAATCCCGGGCAATGGCCAGAATTTCTCCAGCAACGGGTTGCTCACCAGGTGTTCGTTCGTTTGCCTCTGAGAGTGAATCACCTGGTTCGGATTCAGTTTCTGGTTCTTCGTCGAGCATGTCCGAAGCCAAGTGCCACGAAGTTCTGCGATTCTTCTGGAGAGAGAATCTGCCCTCTTGAAATGGGTCTGGTGTTTGCGCCGTCTCGGCGGAAGTTCGTGACTTGAAGAATCTAAGAATTGGGTCTTTGAATTCTTCTTCCTCTTCTTCTTCTTCTTCCTCACTTTCTCCGCCATGTTCGCTGGAATTGTCAGCTTCGTGGGCCTCAGGTAGTTGAGGGTCGTCAAAGAAAGGGAGGAAAATGGAAGACGACGACGGAGGAGCCGCCGTGAGAGACAAGGGTTTCAGAGAGGATTTCGAGCGGAGATACAGGTATGGTTTTGCGCGGTGAAAAGGGTGAGAAAGTGGAAGGGAAGGGTACAGATACTGAGGAGCGAGAGACGAAGACGCCATGGAAATGGCCAATAAAATGCTTTCGGAACCTTCTCGCACGGAAAGCGCGTCACAACGCTTATAAATCCACAACCACGTAGCAGAGAGGGAGAACCAAAACGACTCGCGATTGTGATTAATGTCTTAAAACTCAAATCAAACAGTCTTAATCCATGGTCCAAATCATTCCATGACCATTTGAGAAGAGCAGTTCCTTCACTATCTTCCTAATTACGTAATTAGTGGAGGGTTTAGACCAAGGCTTTGCAAATAAATCTAAAAAATTGGTATCCGATCGGTATCCAATTTTAAGATATCCATCAATCAATAGAGCGAATTCGGATTCAACGAACAAAAAATGCTAAGGTCTTGAATGATATTGGTTTTTATTTTTTGTTTTTAGTTTTAGTTTTTGATTTTTGGATTTTGGATTTCATAAATTTATAAATATAAAAAATTGTGACTTTTAATTTTTAGTTTATTTTTTCCATAAAGTGGGTTTTTAGTAAAACTAAATTTTAAAAAACTTGATTGTAAGTTTTTTCAGTTTTTAAAATCTAAAAACTTCGAAAACCTCTTTCCATTCATCACCTAATACTCGGGTTCGAGTTCGGATATAAGATGATTAAAAACCCTTATCTACTTGCCTTTGATGCCTCAACCTCGTCTCGTATACGTCCCTTCACCCCCTCCCCACTCTCTCTTTCCTCGCTTCGCCCTCCTCGGACTCAGTCTAACCTTTTCAATCTCACCCTCGCTCTCACCGGCCGGGTAACCGCAAATACCCAAACATTTGGAGCACTTTAACAAATACCTGCCCGAATGATAATCCGAAAGACTCGGGTTTCGGATAATCAAAAACCTCGGATAACCGATCCATGTCCAATATTAGACTACATTAATAATATCACTTGGGTCCGATATTTTTTGGATTGGACCAACCAATCTACGAACCGAGCCGAGATTACGATGAAGAAGTTACTCACACAAGCTATCACATACACCATTTGAATGGAAAGTAACTCTCGCATTCATAGAAACAGACACCTTACTATCCACCAGACAAGACTCAAGGTCGACCGAACTATGATGAACAAGATAATCTCTCTCCACAATCCGGACGCGATAGAAAACAAACTATTACAGCAGTGATATCGTATTACTTCATCTAGGAGAATGTAATTTTACCCATCTGTTCATGAGAATGAGATTTCTGTTTAGAGTTATTTCTAATTTGTAAATATTATGACATTTGTTTTTCTTTGGTATTAATTCAATCACATTTTATAAAAAAAAATATATGTATGCTTTTAGACACCATGAAATCATCTAATATTCATCACACGCCATAAAAATCGGATTTCTAACTTTATGTTTGTTTGTTTGTAATAATTCGTAATAAATATGATACTGTAATTTTTGAGTTGCATTTGACATTTAAAAAAAATGTAATTTAAGATAACTATAATATTTTAATATAAAATTGAACTTGATAACTTGATCAAAATTGTAAATTGTAAAGAGTAGGTAAATGTTTTGTAATATTATTATAAATAGTGATGATGAATTGGTGAAATTTTAGAAAAGACAAATATGTCTATTTAAAACCACATTCTATCAAAATTTTTATTTTGATTTCAGTTGATTCTATTCTATCATTGTTCTGAAAATGATAATATAAATGATAATATGATTACATGATAGTTTAACGTTAATTTTATAATGATTTAATCACGTGATTAACGTGATATAGAAGATGTGATTATGATGAATTGATGCGATAAATATAATTTTAACGTTAAAACCAATTTAACTATTATTTGATCATATTATGACTATATTATCATTTTGGTCATATGAATATAGTAGAAAATAGATATGGATTAAAATTAAAATAGCAAATATATAGTATTTTTTATAATGGCCCACTTAAAACCTTTTCAATAAAATACAAATTTCAAAATCTTAATGATATCGCTTTTTAAAATTACGTACAATTTAACATGAACATCTTGGAACAGATCCAAGCCAACAGAAGTTACATACAGGCAAAACCCTGGCAACCACAACTCAGCGGTTTTTCCCTGCTTCCATCTCAGCAGAAGATCGAACGAGTTTTCGGGTGTCAAAACCAGTAAAACCGACGAGAGAACGACCTGTACGTTCGCGGTTTGCGGGTCATCGATGAAGAAAGATCTTCAAGATCGATGATTCGTCTCGGTTTTACGAGAAAAGTTGAGAGCTCTAGGTCTGTTCCTCCTGTCCTTCCAGAACTCGTCCTTCTTCCCCTTCTTCTTAGCTTTTACCCGACCGAATTTGCTGTTGATAATTCCGAGTATCGCGCTCCGATCCTTTCTGTTCTTGGTCTTGGCCTTCTCTTCGAGAATCGCCCTGAGTTTCTCATATGACCTCGCATCAGGGACTTGGCCGTTCTTCACCATCATTTTGTGGTAAAAGAACGCCCTCCTGAAGTCTCGGACACGAACATATGCGTAGATCATCGTGGAGTATGTTATGGAATCAGGTTTTAGATTAAGAGCCAACATCTCCTTCAACAGCTGAGGCAACTTACCATGCTGTCCTCCTCGGGCATACGCGTTCATCAGCATATTGTACGTCATTATAGTCGGAGGCAAACCCATTCTCCCGAATTCCGAAACGACATCTCTCGCTTCAATGTAGTGGCCTTGCTTGGCAAACCCATCGAGAAGGGTATTGAACGTTACCCGTGTCCCCCCGACTTTTTCCCGCATCATGATTTTCCAAATCTCCATCAATTTCTCCGTGTCGCCACATCGTCTGAACGCATCAAGAAGAGCCGTGTATGTCTCAATCGACGGTTTAATCCCTTCTCTTTGCATATCCTCGAAGGAAGCATAAGCTTTCTGGTGCCACCCGCTGACCGAATAAGCATGAATAAGTGCTGTATAAGAATGTGAAGTAGGCTTTACACAGACCTTCTTCATCCGCAAGAAGGCATCGGCAGCCATATCACTCATATTCTTCCGCCTCCCATATGCGCTAATCAAACACGTGTATGATTTAGCGTTCGGCTCTAAACCCGAACCTTCCATTTCCCGGAGAAGTTTCTCCACGACGTCAGGCTGCATTCTTCTCGCGTAAGCATCCATAAGAATATTGTAAGTCGCATCTGTGGCCTTCAAGCCTTTAGCTTTCATCTCGGCGAAAAGACCTTCTACTTCTTCGATTTGGCCGGATTTGTTGTAAGCATCCATTAAAGTATTGTACACAATCGTATTCGAACGAACACCTTTCTTCTCCATTTCGGTTTGGACGATAAGAGCTTCTTCTTTCAGCCCTTCGTCGCAAAACGATTTTACGAGGGCGCCAAATATCTCTTCGCTCCACTCCACGCCTTTCCGGCTCATCTTCTCAAACATCTCCCACGTTTCTTTGGCACTCCGTCCGGATTTCCTCATGACTGTGATCATTACAGCACATGTGACATGATCCTCACGCAGATTGATCGTTTCCATGGCTTCATATACTTTCCAAGCATCATCATATCTATACAAAATTCAGCACTAGTTAGACAAGCAAGGCAATATGAAAAACCAAATCTTTCACTGCAAAATAACTTGTACGATTCAAAAAACACCAAATTCAACAACAAAACCAGGTTCAGATCGTTCAAAAACCTACCAAACATTCCACTATTTCGAATCTAGCTCGGAAAACACGACCAAGCATGAGACCACTTCCACTGTTTGCAGAGAAAAGTATGTACCTTTCACAGGCTGCAAGTCCAGAAATGGCTGAATTGTAGACACGAACGTCCATGAACTCTTTCTTGTCCGGCAAGTTACGCAACAGAATCAAAATCTCATCAGCCATTCCTTCTCGTCCGAGCAACGGAAAGAGAACAGAGCAAGCACGAGCCGTGACGAGAGATGGGTTCTGCAGACGCATCCACTCGTAGAAATACAAGCAGCTCTTCACAAAACCACATTGACCCATCAAGAGCAAAGCCTCTATGCAATCCCTCTGACTCACACGCCCTTCGAAGCCAGACAACATCTCTCCCAGTGTTTGATTCTTCGACAAATCCCGGGCAATGGCCAGAATTTCTCCAGCAACGGGTTGCTCACCAGGTGTTCGTTCGTTTGCCTCTGAGAGTGAATCACCTGGTTCGGATTCAGTTTCTGGTTCTTCGTCGAGCATGTCCGAAGCCAAGTGCCACGAAGTTCTGCGATTCTTCTGGAGAGAGAATCTGCCCTCTTGAAATGGGTCTGGTGTTTGCGCCGTCTCGGCGGAAGTTCGTGACTTGAAGAATCTAAGAATTGGGTCTTTGAATTCTTCTTCCTCTTCTTCTTCTTCTTCCTCACTTTCTCCGCCATGTTCGCTGGAATTGTCAGCTTCGTGGGCCTCAGGTAGTTGAGGGTCGTCAAAGAAAGGGAGGAAAATGGAAGACGACGACGGAGGAGCCGCCGTGAGAGACAAGGGTTTCAGAGAGGATTTCGAGCGGAGATACAGGTATGGTTTTGCGCGGTGAAAAGGGTGAGAAAGTGGAAGGGAAGGGTACAGATACTGAGGAGCGAGAGACGAAGACGCCATGGAAATGGCCAATAAAATGCTTTCGGAACCTTCTCGCACGGAAAGCGCGTCACAACGCTTATAAATCCACAACCACGTAGCAGAGAGGGAGAACCAAAACGACTCGCGATTGTGATTAATGTCTTAAAACTCAAATCAAACAGTCTTAATCCATGGTCCAAATCATTCCATGACCATTTGAGAAGAGCAGTTCCTTCACTATCTTCCTAATTACGTAATTAGTGGAGGGTTTAGACCAAGGCTTTGCAAATAAATCTAAAAAATTGGTATCCGATCGGTATCCAATTTTAAGATATCCATCAATCAATAGAGCGAATTCGGATTCAACGAACAAAAAATGCTAAGGTCTTGAATGATATTGGTTTTTATTTTTTGTTTTTAGTTTTAGTTTTTGATTTTTGGATTTTGGATTTCATAAATTTATAAATATAAAAAATTGTGACTTTTAATTTTTAGTTTATTTTTTCCATAAAGTAGATTTTTGGGTTTTTAGTAAAACTAAATTTTAAAAAACTTGATTGTAAGTTTTTTCAGTTTTTAAAATCTAAAAACTTCGAAAACCTCTTTCCATTCATCACCTAATACTCGGGTTCGAGTTCGGATATAAGATGATTAAAAACCCTTATCTACTTGCCTTTGATGCCTCAACCTCGTCTCGTATACGTCCCTTCACCCCCTCCCCACTCTCTCTTTCCTCGCTTCGCCCTCCTCGGACTCAGTCTAACCTTTTCAATCTCACCCTCGCTCTCACCGGCCGGGTAACCGCAAATACCCAAACATTTGGAGCACTTTAACAAATACCTGCCCGAATGATAATCCGAAAGACTCGGGTTTCGGATAATCAAAAACCTCGGATAACCGATCCATGTCCAATATTAGACTACATTAATAATATCACTTGGGAGGCTAACTGAACCTGCTGGCAGTTGTACTGTACATGTTCTGTCTTGGGACAATGCAGGGTTACAGGGTATATGTTTCACAAAAAATGAAATGAAAAGCTTTTAACCGACATTTAACCAGTGGAAGTGCAGGGAAGGACACGACCAATCAGCCTTGAACTCCGGTTCTGATGTGTTTGGCTTCCACCCTTCAAAACCCACATTAGAAAAAGTCCAGACATCATTACAGGTAGCTGATGAATTCGAGTGCTTGCGGAGGCCCAAATCAACAGATTTTGCTATCGGTTTGCAATGATCTTAATCTCGCAACCATACATATTGTTTCTATTACGACTCGGTTCGGTTCTGTCCTATTCTGATCAGGCCGGGTTCAATTACATATTCTCACAAACAAATACCTTTCTATTTTTACTGACCGGTTCTCTTTTATACATTTCGGTCTAAACCAATCAGGCAAACCAAACCAAAAACCAATCAATCGGTTCGGTATGGTTTAGGACTACATTGCCGAACCGAAACGTCCACACGAGTTCGTTATGTTGACAGAATCTGTTACCTTGCTCAGCGGAGTCCTCCAACAAAGCGCATCAGAGTCCTCCTCCCTTTGCTGTCTGCCCAACGAAAAGAACGAACACCCTCAGTAGCTATTACAACATTTCACATGTGCGGCGTTCTTCTTGTAATGACAGTTGCAATGAATCATTTCTTGAAAATGTTCAAATATATATATATATATATATATACATATATAGAGAAGATATGTATTAGATTTTGTATATATCGACGTACCCATGTTCGCTCTGTGGCATTTCCTGAACGTCCATGTGAGTATGATATTTCCCATTGCACTCCTTCATCCGAGAAGAAGTCTCGGCTGAACGTTCGCGATGACTTGGAGCCCGAAATTCCGTTCTTCCGAAGCTTAATACGTTCCCTTCGCTGCTTCTAAGGGCATTCACCGTCTTCCCGATTTTCTCGGCCTCAAAACACGTCGAGAACGTGGAAGTGCGTGCATCGGGAACTGTAAGCTTTTCGGATGCAGAATCGGAATGTTCGGAGTCACTTCTAGTTGACAGAGAGGATTTCTGCATTATTCTGCGAGAGCAACTGAAAAACCTGAAGAGAAGATTTCCGGCTTTCGCGTTCTTAGGCAGAGAACCCCCGGATACGACGAGGTTTACAGAGATCTCGACGTTGCGTCCTAATACGGATTGGAACGAGTCTGCAATCGCTTTCCACGACCTTTCCACTCGTGATACATGTCGAGGGGTGTAGAATTCCAGTTCAGCAATTGCCATACCTGAAAATTTCGGATGGCTTAGTACGTGAGATCTTGAAAATACCGAAAAAAGGAAAACCCAAAATGGATATAAAAGATTTGGTATATCATCAAACCACATTGGTAAAAAAAAATAAAAAAAAAATTACACTTTGCTGTGATGGCCGTGCATAAAGAATCGAAAAAACCGTAAATTTCTTTAAAAAATCAAGAATTTTATCATTAAAACCTAAACCCGAACCCAACAAAATCTAGCATAAAACCGAATGGATATAGATTTTCTAAAAAACCGAACCAAAAACTGAACTTTTGACCCCTCCCGTTAGGACATACTGATTGAATCCCAAATCGTTGTTTTGGAGCCGCCATGGCGGAGAGGTCGCACATTCAACAAGGGTACCAGAAAAGTTTAGGACATTTGAACGAGTCTCGAATATCGTTCAAGAATTCCCGGGCTCCTTAAGCACGGGACAGGATCCCGACACTCAAAGTGCGAGAAAAACAATCATTAGAGATGTGAAACTAAAAAAGAAACATCGGAAGCAGATACCTCTGTCAATGGTAAGTGAAGTTAACTTCCCTCGCTTCCACAAAAAACTCTTCAACGAATCAGAACGGCACAACTCCGTGACCCGTCTCCACGCGGATTCCAGCGTACCGTTATAAATCTCCGTACACCGAGCAAGTTGCCTCGAGCTTTCACCTTCTTCTGACGACGATGTGCTACGTAAGTTGGTGTCTAGGCACGGGAATTTCAGTTTCAGTCACAGCAATCAGAAGGGAGAAAAAAACATCAACAATATTTTTCATTTCTTGTAATGAACTTTACTTTTTTGGCTTCTTAAACACGATCCGAGCCCGAACTCGTTCATCGTGATGGAAGAAGAATCCGAATTGCTGAGCTGCAGAAGCGCGACGGTAAGCCATGTCGTCTGGTTTTTAGATGCTTTCAGATTCTTCTCAGCATCAGACAGGATCTTCAGTGCATGACTCAGTTTCTGCATTTCTTCTTCAGCTACAACACAAAATCCCTCCAAGTATTAGGTTCAGTCAACATAATGGGTAAACTAGTTTTTCAGACAGTTGTAGAGATACTCTCTCTTGTTCTTACATGAATGCCTTGTAAGAAACCGATGTCTGGCTTCCGAACTGCTTTCTCGGCACTTTTCAGCGATGATGTCCATAATGAGACTAGCGAGCTGAGAAATAAGCTGCATCGGATCAATCTTCGACCTCATCAGCTCCCTCGCTCTTATCACGGTATTTGAAGTGTCGGAAGACAAGGCAAGATCAAGCAGTTCGAGCAGTTCTTCGTCAGAAACAACTCCAACCTGTGGCGGAAAACGCAAAGCAAAGGTCGTGTTCCTCGTCGTTAAATGTTCCGAGATTTACAAGGGGTAATGATATGAAGAAAATGTGTAACTCACAAGCTCGTAAGCCGAGGATATCGTGATTCTTTTACTGAGCAAGCTGAGCTGATCGAGCATAATCTCGGCATCTCTAAGAGAACCATCAGATTTCGAAGCAATGAAGTCAAGCGCACCCTGATCGAAATCAATGCCCTCGTCCAGACAGATCTTCGCCAGCTTGTTCGATATATCACCGTCTTTCACTTTCGGGAAATGATACTTCTGAGACCGCGAGACGACGTTCCATGGCAAGTTTTCTAATTCCGAAGTGACGAGTATAAAGATCACGTGCCGAGAGAAGCGCTCCAAACTGTTGAAAAGAGCCGCCCATGTTTCTTGACACAGCATTTGACATTCGTCGATGACGAAAATCTTGAATCTCGACGAAACGGGAGGAAGATGCGCACTTTTGATGAGAGATCTGAGCGAGTCAGGCCGATTTAATTTACCCGAATCCATTTCTTTCATGTCCCTGCTCCTTCCTGAGATGAACAAATTACATTCTCTGCACAAACCACACGGTCTACTATGACTGGTCGGTGAAATACAGTTCAAAGCGGCGGCGAATATCCGAGAAGTAGATGTTTTACCAGTTCCCCGAGGACCGTGAAAGAGGTAAACCGCAGAAATCCTACCTCTGAAAATGGTGCTTAAGAGACATTTTACCGCTACCTCCTGCCCGACCAATTCACCGAACGTTTTCGGTCTGAACTTCTGACTCAGGCTTCTTGGCAGTTCGAGACACGGAATCACTCCTTTGCTTCCACGTTTCCCGAGCTTGTTTCTGTATAACGGAGATTCATCTGTGTTTCCGGATAATAACGGGCAATCTTCTACATCAGAAGAATGGTTGGATCCCCTATACCTAGGAGTTCTTGACCAACAATTCGTCATCCCGCATCCGCGACTACATTGATCAACCATGTTTATGTCTTCGTCCATGGAACTGTGACTCATAGAGGGGACTCGATAACAGTTTCGATCTCTTCGTTCTGAAACATCTTCTCGGGTTTCGGTATGTGATGAAAAAGCATTTACACTAGCAGATGAATCAACATCCTCGACGGGACTAACACATACCAGTTCCCTACCTTTACTCGTTAAATCATTGTGAAATCTCTCACCAGGCGATCTACTTGCCCGAGCACTTTCTTCCCCGCCCGAAAACTGCCCGGCCTCGGAAGGAAAACCCGCATTTTCAATCCAATTTTTCAACTTGTCAATACCACAACCATTCCCTTTCTCCTCTACCCTTGCCCGAGCACTTTCTTCGTCATTACTCGCAAACTGCAACAAGATACCATTGCTCAGACCGGTTTCCCATTTGTCGGTATCAACCAAAGAAGCAAACTTGCTCATGGAATTCGTACTCGGGTCCCTCAACGACCTAACCCTTCTGAGAGCGACCAGTGTTCTCGTGATCGGAACATCAACAGAATGCCTCCCGGTTTCCCCCATTCTAGAGAGCTTAAGTCAGTCAAACTTCAGACCGGAGCTTTGTCTGCATCAGACAGCAACACTCTAACATCAGACACAACATCCAATCAACAACGGCTTGATAGCGGCACCGACCACACAAGATTTACTATTTATCAGGATCATTCAAGCGCCAAACATAAGAGAATCACCCAAAGTTGCAAACTTTTTTTTACCAGTAAACAGAATTGATTCAGCTATAAGAGCCGCAACGCTGCACCAAATCTGTCATTAAAGAAAAGCAACTGGATCTCAAGCCGAAATACACTGCGAAAACGTCAGCAAAAGCAATGAAAAGGTGAACAGAAGATGAAATCTAGCGTCGGAAACATGAATATGAAGTCACCTTTATCTTATCGCGAGGAAAAAAAAATGAATGAAGCACACCAAACTCCAACACCCAGATACAAAAATCAAAGACAAACAAGAGATTTATTGAAAATGTGGCTTGTAACAGCATTCGGAACACATGGGTGCAGGAAGAAACAAACACAAAACAAAATACTAAATACTAAAATATCGAATATAGTCACAGAGCTCAAAAACAGAGACCCAGGGAAGCTATGGACATTTTTTTTTTTAAAGAAGAGAGCCGATTTGGCTTTAAAATAAGCAAATAAAAACAAAGGGGGAATAAGAAACGACAAACTTGAAATTCCAAACGCCAAGATTCGAGATTAACGAGGTTTTTAAAATCGAAGGGAGCGGCGTGCAATGCTGAGTATACAATAGCCCTAAATAAACCCCCCCCCAGAAATCAGAAACCCTAAGGGACGAGAGAAGCAGAGCAGGCGACGAACCGGTGCTTTGATCGGTCCCGGAACCAGGAGGAGATGGAATAAGAAGTAGGAACTGGGTAGGAAAGTGGTAAATGGCATTGAATGGTGAGTGGTGATAAGAAACAAAGGAGAGCATTGTGTATGGTGGAGAGAGAGAGAGAGAGATTTAATTGAATTATTCAGAGACATGTTTTTGTATTAGCAGCAGAGGTTTCTGCAGAGGTGTCTGACTTCGGACACAGACCCCAACCAGTTAGAGAGAGAGAGAAGAGAGAGGAGAGAGGGAGTTTGGTGTTTGGTTCATTTCAGATAAAATTCGGCGGTTTCAGTTAGTTTTTTCACTTTTGTGGGAAAAAAAAAAGAGAGAACCCAAAAAAGACTCTCGTCGAAAAATAAAATAAAATGTAATAGTGTGGTCCGGTTCTGCAGCATTCCCACGCGTGTAGATGCGCGTGTTGTTCACGTGTATTGGATACCTCTTTTATGAATAAAGTCCCAAAAAGTTTCCAAAGATGATTTATCTACAGAATAATGCAAGAGTGAAATTGTGTGATGAATTTTAGGAATGGAATAAAATTAGTAAAATAGTAATCGAATTGAATTTTGTAAAGGTTTAACTTTTATCTTTTAAGTGGTAAAATATTCGATGTTATTCATTATAATAAAAAAAGATTTGCAGTTTGGATATATATATATATATATATATCTTTATATATATAAAAGTATCGTTGATTTTTAAAAAAATTAAATTTTTATTCAGAAAATTAATATAAAAAGATATAATTAAAATATTTGTTATTAATTGATAGGTGAATTTACTACATTAGACCTTTTTTACATTGAACTTGATGAAAATACTTTTAGATTTCACTTTGAGAGCAAGAGCATACGTGTCCAATCTATTTCAAATTCAAGACATTGCATTAATCTATATTTCATCCTATTCTTTTTAACTTTTATTTATACTTTCCAATATATGTTGTTAATTAAACATGTTAATTCTATATTTCATCCTATCTCACATTCTTTTTTACTTTTATAATAATAGTATTATATCATGTTATATATATTTCCAATCTATTTTTTAATTAAATATATCGATATATATATATAATACGATGTTCACCCAAACACGGAATATATAATTATATTTGATTTATAATTATTGAAATTACGATCGAGTAATATGTTTGTTTTTTCTTTATTAAATATGTCAGATATTTTTGTATAATATAAAATTTAATAAAACATAAAATATGTAATTAACGGGATAATCTATATTTTTTAAATATTCTTCTTATTGTAATTCTAATAATCAAAGTCAAAATTGAAATCTTATATATAAAAAGGTACACTATAACATACACGTACACCTTCATCGTCAAAACCATTAATAAAAATACAGTTACTTTTTTTTTTCTAGAATATGAAACATTTTTTTAGTCAACAGAATAATCAATTCTCAAATAAATAATAGGAGAATGCCATGTATTTTTGCGTACATGAATCGCAAAGTGCAAAGAGTCAATTAACATCAGATTATTAATCAAAGATATCATGTATGCCTCTATCTATATATATATATATATATTTCTTCTGGTGTCGATCCCAAGAGCAAGGCGGACGGGAAGAAGCCTGAATCGTACCTGTGACACTTATAACCCGTATCTCGCATTAGAGTTGTATCACATGGACAATTAAAATAAAAACTCAATCCCAAAATTTAGCGGAAATTTAAAACTTTTCTTTTTCATAGTTATCGAAAGGTAAACATTCATGCATATATATATATATATATAACACATTATTTTCAGTTATAATTATACATAGTCGAGTGGTAGTATAACATTATTATAAACCGTAAAATCTACCACCGATATAGCACAAAACTGTTCCCCAGAATATTAGTGTATCATAGTACGTAATTATACATGATCGGTAGTGGTTAGCTGTCCAGGTCTCCGATGTCCGATCCGCGGCTACTGCTGCTCACGACCTGAACACAACATTCTAAACTAATTGTTTAGAGAGTGAACTCGGGCGTAACCCAAAGTTCTATTCTCATGGAATCTGGGAAAGCAATATATATATATATATATATGCCAATAATCTAATAGATAGGAATCGAAAACATGACATCATGAGAATCATGTCACCAATCACAATCAAATCCGTACGACAAGTCGCAAAACAGAGTCCGTCAAATAGTCTCTACGCGCCCCATGCATAGGTAATATATATACTCCCCATGTGCATAGCACAACCACATCTCTCCTCGGAATCCATCTACTCCACCATCACTCGGATCCGACATAATTATAATTTTTTCCGCCCGAACACATCGCCCCACCCTAACATCGATGTCACCTCTCGATATTAGACGTGTCACCTCACTCCAACATTGATGTCACCTCTCAATGCCGGAGTTCACCAGACATCGGCTACAACCACGCCATCGACTATAACGGGAGAGCCGGTCGCTGCAACTCCCCCTCGCCGACCATCTGTCGCGGAAATACTTGTCAGGTTCGTGTCCGAACTTGGCAGAGTAAGTCTGTACCACCTCTTCGGGAGACACCAATCTACTGAAATCTTAGGCATGTGTAATGCCTCATCCTTGAGATAATCATATCCCGGAATTCGCTCCGTCGCTAGCGAAAATGTTGGCGCGGTTACCAAGAACCTTATTTTCTTCGTCATGCAATAATATCAACTACGATCGGCTATCTATGCAAGTCATCGGGATGCCTATAATCGTTCTATCGTTCGGACGTTGGCGCGATTATGTCATCGCTACATTCATAATCATATCCCATATGCGTGGCATTCGACCCGGATCGGATAGCCTATAAATGGGACGCAATCTCGCAAACATCATCCATTGAATCACAAACGTCCATTTCTACAATCACGCGCTAAACATTAATATGAACCCTTTTGAATTACATTAACGTTATGGCAGCTACTCCAATCACACACATTTATATAGTTTATTTACTATACATGCATTTCCGCTTGCGTAGTCTTTTAATTCTTCTTATAAATATTTATATATCTCTTTTCGGTCTATCCGGTTAAATTACCGAGTTGTACCTCCGATTTGACCTATCTGGTCCCGGTCCGTCCAGATAACCAGTTCGGTTCATTTCGGGGTTTTTAAACTTACCTATTATCCATTTTGGGTTCAAACTACGTGTGGTCCGATCTAACTATATTGAGTCGGGTCCCTCGCGCGGTTTATTTTCAGCGTTCCATTACTCTTTTTCTTTTTGGATCTCGACCGGACTAATTTTCGTCCAGACCGATCGGTCTAGAGTCTAGACCGATAGGTCTAGGATTCGGTTGTTCGTTCTCTCAGTTTCGGTGTGGTTCGTCTAGACCGGTCGGTCTGGGCGTCGTCTTCAACCTCTGGACTTCGCGGTTTCTTCTACAGCCCTAGACCGGTCGGTCTAACCCCTAGATCGGTTGGTCTACGTCTCGGATCTCATGAAAATCACACAAACACGCTCGATTTGCTATGGGTAATTCACCAAAACTCATATAATTTCATGTAGAAAACAAATCAAGCATCAATTTCGCACAAATCACACAAAAACCCAAACCCCATGACCACAGACTTCCGATTTAAACTCGAATTCGCTCATCTCGGGTTAACCTTGTGCGTTGGGTGATGAATGGAAAACTTGGTGATGCTCCTCGTGCTCTATGGGAACTAGGAAGAGGGTTAATACTTCATATTTGAGAGAGATTTTCGGGTTTGAAGTTGAAGAAGAATGAAGAGGGGGAATGATTAAGTAGAACTCGGATTTTTGGCGGATTTGTGACTAAAATCCAGACTCAGACCAATATTATTGCGTCTTAGGGTCCTAGGGTTGAAAAATGGGGATTTTGGTCGAAGATTGGCATCGGATTTCGACCAAAAATCGCGATCTTTCCGACTTTCCAGTGTCTAGAGTGATCGGTCTGCGTCTGAATCGGTCGGTCTAGGTCGCTATGTTCATCTGTTCTTGCCGACAGTCTGGATCGGTCGGTCTAGACCTCTGAACCGGTCGGTCCATATATATTTTTTAAATCCGAGTTATCATAGCAATGGTATATAACTTATTTACATAAATAATATAATAATTAATAATAATTTTATAATAATTTAATTTTGTTAATATATTTTCTGTACCAAATAAAATTTTGATATCATTTTTTTTATAACAATCATATCAATAAATTTAATAAAAATTTGTTTAATATAAAAAAATAATCCGTACATCGCGGGATCAATACTAGTCCATGAAAATATAACCGAAAATTATTCACAATCAATTTTTAGAAAAACAAATAAAATATTCGATTGTCTTTACACTTTAATTTTTTTTTAAAAAACAAACTATATTATATTTAATTTAAAAATATGAATAAAATTATTTAAAATTTATATTTTATTTTTAGTCTGCACAATACGATGAGGGTTATTACGGAGTAGAATAAAAAGTATGGAAAATACTAAATTGTTTTAGTGTAAATTTACGTGGTATTAATTAAGGCTCTAATCATCCTAATTATGATTTTCACAGTTTAAGGATTAAAGCTTTTGATTAAATTTTCTTAACCACTGAAAAATATAGTTGTAGTCCGTGTGGGGTTTTGTAAAAAAATATGAATAATAAAATGATATTTTTCTAATGCGGATTGCAAAACAATAACCATAAATGTATAAAAGTTAAAGATGATGAAAATTCAATTTCGGCCTCACGGAGGAGAGCCCATCTCCAACAACGTAGACCTACAAAGCCCAATATGATAACAATGCCTATTCGGCTATTCCCTTTTTTAAAATATATATATAATCGATTAAATTGGATATCCAAAATTCGATTATCGAATATTTAATAAAATGAGATCGGGTATAAAGTTAAAAAAAAATCGAAATTCGAATTTGGATTTAGATATAAAATTATAAGATGAATAATTATCTAACGGATATATCCGAAGAATTACAAATTTATAATTTTATCTCTATATTTTAATTATATTATATAAAAAAATTTTGTCAAAAATATTATATAAAATTTTAAACCTCGACTTATTTTAATTATGTTGTAAAATTGTAAAACTTATACATATTATACTTTATAAGTATCTTAACTATAGTTATATATTATATGTATTATATTTTTGTTGTTAGATTTAACTTTTTTTAAATATTTAGATTGGTCGTTTAATTTAACACCTAATCTCTGCAACTGTTAATTCTGAATTAGTTTAAAAACTAACAAGTCATTATTTTGACGTACGAATACTTTGATATAATATAATGTTTTGTTTGGAGTCTCAACCAACCAAACATATTTCATCCCATTTGATTTTTTTTTTATCAAACAGTTCTCTCTCTCTCTCTCTCTCTCTCTCTCTCTCTCTCTCTGCTTCCTTATCCTTTTTCCGACCTTTCTTCTTCTAAAACCCTTATCTTCCTCTTCTTTCTCCTCCATCTCTATCTCTGCAAAAATGTCTTCTTCAATATTAACCTCAAGCTTCAAGCCCTTACCCATGGCGGATTCTTCCTCGTCTACCCTTTTCTCTCTCCCTTCCATCTTCACCAGATCCAAATGCCCAAATTTCTCAACCCCCACCAAACCCATCAAACTTCACCTCTCTCTCTCTCGCTCTACCCTCGCTCTGAGCCACAAAACCCGCCATAAGAGCTTCTCCCGCCTCATCTCCTCCGTTGCCCAGACCTCGGATTGGGCTCAGCAAGGCGAGGAAGAAGGAGAAGACGGCAGCATCGGTGGCGCCTCCGTCGCCGTCGAGGACAACGAGGAGGGTTTCGAGACGGAGGCGAAGTTTTGGGATGGGGAAGGAGATGCGAGTGGGGCTGAAGACGGCGGCGGCGTGACGGAGGAGGAAGGCGCCGGCGGAGAGGAAGAGGAGGGGTTCCCGGAGCCGCCGGAGGAGGCTAAGCTGTTCGTCGGGAACCTGCCGTTCGACGTTGACAGTCAGGGCTTGGCTATGCTCTTTGAGCAAGCTGGTACTGTCGAGATTGCTGAGGTGATTGCTTGAAATTAGAATAGCTAAGAAAATGGAGAATCTTAATCTGTTGTGGTTTGGTGTGATCATCTGGTTGGTTCGTGTGCTTGTTGATAGATTATAACAAGCTGAGCTTTGCATCAATGGCGTGGTTCAATAGTAGTTGGTTTGGGGCCCCGATTAGGGTTCATGGATGAGAAAAAGTGTAATCTTTGGCTTCTGATTCTTCTGGGCATTTCTAGTTAGTGAGGGATTTGATGAGTTTCAGTGACCAGAATCTTGTGTTTTGAGTTCTTATCTTTATTTTAGATGTTTTCATGTCTTTACTGAGGCATTTTGATTAGTTCAAACCTTAATGATGTTGTATTGCGTATGCATTTGGTGATTTTTGCTTTGGATCTTGGGAATGCAGGTTATATACAATAGAGACACTGACCAGAGCCGTGGGTTTGGTTTTGTAACAATGAGTACAGTGGAAGAAGCCGAGACAGCTGTGGAGAAGCTCCATAGCTATGTAAGTGATCTTTTCAATTGGCGTGCCTAGTTTGATGAAGTTCGATAATGTGGATCGCATAAACGTAAAACTGCTATCGGTTTTTAACTTTAAACGGGGTTTCTTGTTATATACAATAGAGACACTGACCAGAGCCGTGGGTTTGGTTTTGTAACAATGAGTACAGTAGAAGAAGCCGAGACAGCTGTGGAGAAGCTCCATAGCTATGTAAGTGATCTTTTCAATTGGCGTGCGTCGTTAGATGAAGTTCGATAATGTGGATCGCATAAACGTAAAACTGCTATCGGTTTTTAACTTTAAACGGAGTTTCTCTTATGACAGCGTTTGCTTATTCTGTAATCTTTCCATTCGCGAGTCTCATATTTTATGGCCACCGATCTCTGAGTTTTGCTTGTGTTGCGAGTGCCTGTGGAATTTATTGTGAAGACTGCTTCACTTCAGCACTTCTTATCCGATACTCGGGAAATAACGAGAAAGTTGGGGACTTTCTGTATGATTTGGATTGTGAAAACATATATGATCATACCCTGTTTCAGTATCCATGATGGCGGTTTTCATCACGGTTTTACTTCTGACAGGAATTCAACGGTCGGAATCTGACAGTAAACAAGGCAGCTCCGAGAGGATCCCGGCCCGAACGCCCACCACGTGAGTATGAGCCTGCATTCAGGATCTATGTAGGGAACCTACCATGGGACGTGGACAATGCTCGTCTAGAACAGGTTTTCAGCGAGCACGGCAAAGTCATGGAAGCCCGCGTGGTTTATGACCGTGAGACAGGCCGTTCACGTGGTTTCGGGTTTGTTAAAATGTCCAACGAGACCGAACTCAATGACGCCATTGCCGCCCTTGATGGACAGGTATATATAAGTTCGAACTTGTCCTGATCTTCTAACACCCGTCTCTGTCGTTTTTTTTTGTCGGAGTTCATGATGATCTCTGGGTTTCCGTGTGTATGGACAGAACATGGATGGAAGAGCGATCAGAGTGAATGTAGCGGAGGAACGGAGCAGAGGCAGGCGTGGGTTTTGAGATATGAAGATGAAGATGAAGATGAAGATGATGAAGCCGTTTGTGACCTGTCTCTGAATCTTGTTTTACTTTTCTTTGGATGAGATTTACTGTCTTTGACAATTTTTGTCTGAAACTCCCAACACCTTCTTCATTTGCCATCCATCCTTGTCTTGTCCCCTTTTCGGGTTTGGTTATACAAAATCGACATAATCTGAACATCGATATCAAATTTGAACAATATTGAATGTTTTTGTATCAATAAAAATAAATCAAAATGAATTCAATATAATTGTTTTTTAGTTTGAACCTGAAACGTTTGAGAAAGAATTGCATCCACATCTCGTTTCTCTGTTAACATTAAAAAAAATAGAAACTATAGCTAAACATTTTAATTTACTCATTATGCGGTTCGTTTATAAGAGATCTATGTATTCGTATTTTAAATTGGAAAATAACCAAAGGATTGAAAACCTGAAACGTTTGAGAAAGAATTGAATCCACATCTCGTTTCTCTGTTAACATTATACCTAAATATTTTAATTTACTCATTATGCGGTTCGTTTATAAGAGATCTATGTATTCGTATTTTAAATTCCGATACCAATCGCCAAACATATGGAATGTAACTCTTTTTATTACCATTACATGGAAGTTAGAAATTATGATAACACATAGATATCCAAATAAAATTCATTCTTTTTATTTCAGTTTTATTATTTGATCGCACAATTACATTTAAATGTCTTACAAATACGTTTAAACATTTTAACATTATTACATCGGTTTGCAATTGTAGTTGTCTACTATTCTATCATTTATCTACCATAATATATATACATGTATATATATAACGTTCCACCGGAATCACAAATAGGCCCATTTTGTGGAAATGTAATGTTTATGATCTCTCAAAACGGCGTCGTCCCATCCAAACCACCCACCCCCCCCTCCTTGTATGCTGTAATGTCCTGACACCCATGCGGTATCTGGATGAACAGGTCGCTGTATCCAGAGCTCTCAATGGCATTGGCCTAGCCCTGGTCGCCCCGGCAATCCAGTCCCTAGTAGCTGACTCAACAGACGATACTAACCGTGGCACTGCATTTGGATGGTTACAGCTCACAGGCAACCTCGGCTCGATCATAGGTGGGCTGTGCTCTGTGTTAATAGCTCCCATAACCTTCATGGGCATCCCTGGTTGGAGAGTTTCCTTCCATCTCGTCGGGTTGATCAGTGTCATTGTCGGTGTACTTGTCCGTGTTTATGCTGATGACCCGCACTTTGGGAAAGACAGGGTTGAGGTTAATCAGAGAGTTCCCTGCAAGTCTTTGTGGTCGGAAATTAAGGATTTGGGTCGGGAAGTTGAGGCTGTCGTGAAAGTTCGGTCCTTTCAGATCATTGTGGCTCAGGGAGTGACCGGTTCGTTTCCTTGGTCGGCTCTGTCATTTGCTCCCATGTGGCTGGAGCTCATAGGGTTCTCTCATGGGAAAACTGCCTTCTTGATGGGTCTTTTCGTGGCTGCATCTTCTCTCGGAGGCTTACTCGGAGGGAAAATGGGGGATCTCCTTTCGACCCGTCTTCCCAACTCTGGCAGAATCATCCTGGCTCAGATCAGTTCCGCCTCAGCCATCCCGCTCGCTGCCATACTCTTATTGTTCTTACCATATGATCCTTCCACTGTTGTGATCCATGGTTTGGTCTTAGTCGTGTTAGGTCTGTTTGTTTCTTGGAATGCTCCCGCCACCAACAAGTAAAGTTTCTCTTGTGTGAAACACATTGTTCTTGTCGTCACTCTATGACTTTGGTGTTTCTCTCTAACGTTGTTCCGCTTTGGCGACAATGCAGCCCCATCTTTGCAGAGATCGTTCCAGAGAAGTCACGGACAAGTGTCTATGCTTTGGACAGATCATTTGAGTCGGTTCTGTCATCGTTTGCTCCTCCTATTGTCGGAATTCTGGCACAGCATGTTTATGGATATAAGCCGATCCTGCAAGGGTCAACAAGATCAGAGGAGATAAACGCAGATAGAGAGAACGCAGCTTCCCTGGCAAAAGCTCTGTATACATCTATAGGAATCCCAATGGCGGCCTGCTGCTTCATCTACTCCTTTCTCTACTGCACATATCCTATCGACAGGCAACGGGCTCAGATGGAAGCCTTGATCGAGTCAGAGATGCATGAACTGCTTCCGGAAAGTTCTGCAGGAGAGCCATCCGTTAAGGAGGCAAGTGTGACCGAAATGGAGTATGAGGGATGTTGAAGATGAGATGGGTCCCGATCAGGACAAAGAGAAACCGTTGATTTATGCAGCTGAGGTTTGGAAACGTAGGTAGATAGTTCATAGCAAAAAGAACAGGAAACTTCACTCAAACAGTATTGGTACAGGAAATGTACACACGCTGTACAATGAGATTATTGTATACAGTGTCAAGGAAAGATATTTTGTTTTCCTCTACATTTATGTTGTGGGTTAAAAGGTAAATCTTATCTGGGTTTTGTAGCGGATAGCATTATAAAGAGTCCATTCTTCACGCTTGTTGAATCCAACCAGTCCACAAGCTCTGCAGATGTCTTCGAGCTCACGCTCGCTTAGAAAGAAGTGAGAACCCAAATACCTTGTCGCCTCCTGACATGCACACCCCCGATGAATACACAATCAGCCATGGACAGGGAAGCAATGTATGCGAAGAAAATGGAGAGTAGACTGAGTTTACCTGGCAAATATTCCTCGAGAACGGGATAAAACTTAAAGGCTCATAGATGAATGTGGTGGCAACAAATACACCTCCAGGCCGAAGAACACAGCTTATTTCAGCAACCTACAAGATCCAGAAGAAACGTTGAGAGCATTCCCAGATTATCCAAGGTGTTCAAATAAGGACTTACTGCTGAGGTGGGTGAAGGCCAGCACTGCAAAGCAGCACCAGCATGCACAGCGTCCACTGAACCTGAAAGGAAGGGAAGTCTAGAGATGTCTGCCCGAACCAGAACGATCTTCCTGGAAAGGAAGACTAGCAAAGTAAAAATTATGATCCAAATCTTAGAAAACAGATGTTCATATACTACAAGTGGAAGCCTTTTACTCTTTGGGGAAGTTTTCTTCTTGATTTACGAATTCATAGCACTGTTGCAGCATGTTCTCTGAGTAATCCAGGGCAATCACTTGGGAGAACAATCCGCTTCTGGCGAATAATCTGGAAAACATCCCGCTGCCGCAACTGGCGTCGATCCCCCCCCCCTCTATTCTGCTGCTCGAGGTAAAAACCCTTGGAAGTCTGGAACGTGAGCTCTCTCTCTCTCCTTCAACCTCCGAAGAACAAATGTCCAATTTGATGCAGAAACTCCTCAAGAACACTCCTTCTCTCAGATTGATCTCATCCTTAAGCCACCAAAATCTCCCAAAACCCTATTTTCCTTCGATTCCTCGATCAACGGTTCACCCTGTTGAACAAAACCCAGATCCTTTTATCAATCCGGTGATCCTCGGAAACGCGGAACGCGACGAGTCTCTGAAGTTCTTCCCGAGTTTTCCATTTGGTTACTCTCTGGATCCAATTTCATTCCCCGTTTCGGGTGTGTCGGAGGTTACTGAGTCCGAGGACTCCGTGTCGGAAGATTCAGGCACTATTTATGCTGATAGCGTGAAGAAGAAGAGGAAGAAGAAGATGAACAAACATAAGTACAATAAACTCAGGAAGCTTCTCCGGAGGAAGACCTAAGAGGGTTTCGGGCTAATCCATGAGAGGCGAAAGGAAGATAAGCTGGCATTTTTTTTTTGGGAAATCGCAAAAAGTAGATCTTTTTTTTTTGTCACCTTGATCATCTCTCTAAGTTGGCAATGCCATCTGCATAGCTTGTGCTACAGACTCTTCTTAGTTTCTTTGGTTGGCTCATTGAAGGAAGATTACCATTAGTGATCCGATCCCTCTCAGGATGTTGCAAACTATGTTAAGAAACCTGTTGCCCGGTCAACGAATTTGTGTTTGAGATTTGATGATCCAATAATACCATCCTGGGGGCCTGCATTTACATGTACGTGCAGGGCCTTCAGCCTTGTGCTTCAAGAACAGAGACATTTTGATTGATGCTTTACATTTTGTGTCCACACTGTAGCATTATGTGTTTCTGAGCTGAAGATATCCTTGGAACAGTTTATACTTGTAGATGTTATCGAAGCGAGCAATGGCGATATTCAGGACGTGTTCTTGTTAGGAGCATTCTGAAATTACATCAGTCACCTACTTTTTCTATGAATCTTATGGAGCATAGATGCAAAGGGTCTCAATTTCTAATGGCATTATAGCAAAGGTCTGATCTGGACTGGTACTTAGGATACTATTGGTTGTTGATTTAGATTGAGGATTGTAAATCATACTGTCTTGAAGTAATGCTGTTCCCGTTATCGGGTAGATGTACATGGAAACATGAATTCAACCAATTTTAGTTTCTTGCTTACTCCACGTATCCATCTGTTGTCAAGGAAGACCATCTCAGTAGCTGCTGCATGAGACTTGTTGGGAATATTTTTTGGAATGCATAATTGATTTATGTTCTGCGTGTACGGACTTCTTCTCGTCCAGGTCTGGGTCTGGTCCTGCTCGGGTCCTGTCTAACAACGTAGCTCAGTAGAAATCATGGGAAAGGACGGAATCTCTTTATGCTTAGATGGGTAATTGTTAGTTAGAAGCTGCTGAAGAAGAATCATGGAGGGGGTTTACGATTATCTTAGGAAACAAAATGAGTCTCTTGTAGCATCTGCATTGTTTGCCATGGATGAATTTGGATCTACCAGACACTTTTTTTTCCCTCTGATATGCATTATGCATATGTGCATTTGAGAGCTTTGGACAAACTAGATGTATACCCATTTCAGACAGGTATTACAGATTGTCTAAAGTGTGGACCTATTGCATGATCAGACTGTATAGCTGCTCCTACAGGGCATCTCTGGTTTCCCCCTTTGTTCTCTTGATCTGGACATTTCTTTTTGTTTGAACATGAGAAAAGATCATATAGTGTTATCTCTGTATGGGCCACTTGCCCTCTCACCCTTCTGAATAGTCTAATTTGGAACTGGTCCTACTGTGCTTTGTCTTGCTTTTTGTTGCCTGTGGTTTACAATCACTACACATGTATTGTACACTCATATGTTAGAACAAGGTTTAGATTGTCAAGATCGAGCATGAAATAGAATCACGAGTTTGATTGAGTTTTTACGTGAATCAACTGCTGCTGGTTCGGCAACTTGGCCAATCTCGATCCGGAATCATGAAGTTGCAGTCTTGTTTCTCCATTCTTCCCCTCCTCTGCTCCCAACACTTTCTTGAAACTCGCATGGAATGCCATTGCTCATTTAGTTCTATGTATTTGTGGTGTCAAGATCCATATCTGTACTGTTATTGCGACAAGTTTTGGTCCTTCCACACTCTTATCACTTGCTCATTTATTGTGTTAGATGTTGTGACCCGATGGTGAACTACTCAGTTGTTATTTCTGGTTATATCAAAGTCTAGAAGTTCGAGTTCATCGAATGCGAAATCGCATGGATCGAAGTAAATCAGCAGAGACCCTGCAACTCTTTTGATCTGAAACTGGAAATGCACCTGTCTGTTTTTGCAGTGAAGATGATGATGGTCCATAGCCATGCCTGTTCTGTTTCAAAACCTTCACTGTAATGTCCATTTTGTCCTGTTTCTGTGTAGAGAAGAAGAAGAAGAAGAAGACGAAGAAGATGGGTTTGTAGCAGAAAGAGGGCCAATCTCCACATACGGAAGAAAAAGGGAAAACTTGACAAGAGACAAAAGGAGACAAAGCGGAGGATTCAATGTAATAGATCTCAAGATAAATGTCTGAGGCTTCAACAACAAATCCTGTCTTGGAACTTTCTTTCAATCTTCTGGACCACTCAAACTTCCCACTGCCTTTGTCTCTCCATTTATTACCATTTTGTATCCGTGCATTTTATTATTATTTGTTCTTTATTAGTGCCGTTTCATATAATATTAAATTGTTCAAAATGGAATTTTTTTTAAGGATTATGGAATCTTCTGAACCAATGAGAGAGATGCGCGTGTCGCTTTTCTTTTAGAATTAGGAGGATAAATGGAAAATGACACTTGTTTTTCGACGTCCAAATGTGCTTTCATTTTATAATTGTTGGCCGAATTAATTGTTATATAATATATTTATAGCATTAGTAGTATTTTTTTTTAATCAATATTTCTAACGATCGGAGGCCGCTACGGAATGATAGAACTATCTCACATACTAACATGAGATATTTTAGCGTGTTTTGTTCTCACTCGTATACATCATGAAAAATACTTCTCATGAAGGCACTCATACTAAAACTACTCCAAAACGAGTTTAATTTTGGAGTTCTTTCGATATGGGCAACCGAAAAGTTAGATTCATCTTGTTAATATAAATAGTTCAATCAATTCTTTTAAAATATCTTTGACTCTGTAGTACAATACCTATACAACTTTCGGATTCCTCTCATTCCGATGCATTCGATTCATCATGTATCTCCTACTCAGAAGCTCGTCAGGAGTCGTCATTTTCCGTACTTCTCGCATTGGCGATCATTCTCCGATCTCCTACGATATCCACGCTATCACATTATTTATCTAGGACTTATTTACTTTTTTTAATCAGCATTTAACATTGGGGTTTAAAAAATTAGCTCCAAGCGTAATCTGGTTATATTTAGATTAGATTTAATGATAGATTGGATTGAATTTATAATAAAAAAATATAATGATAATTATAAGTTTTTGGGTTCAAATAAAGAATGCAAATAAAAACTTAGAAATATGAAATTACGATATAATTACATTTTAGTCCATTTATAATTTAAAAATTAAAGATAAATATTTTAGTTTGGATATATATCATTTAAAATCAAACAAAATTAATGAACCTATCATAAAAAACTATAGATGGATATAATTTTAAAAATTAAATTAATCAAATTCAAATGGAATATAAAATTTTAAAAAATAATTAAGTTGAAATAATTTGAGATTGAATATAAAATAAATATTAATAAATTTTTAAAAATGAAACCACAAAAATAAAAATTTAACTCAATTAAAATTGACAAATGTAAAGAAATAAAAATGCTAAGCATGTGGGAATTAAAAGTCAACTCTATCTTCCCGATCCGTTGAACAACAGCTTAGTAGAGTATATATAGTTTTGAAAAAAATAATAAACTATTATTGGTAGTTGGATGGCAAGTATCTTTCTAAATTGTAATTAATAATGTAAATATAAATAAACATATGGGTCCAACCTTAATTCTACATAATTATACTTATAATTTTAAATATTATTGAATCAATTTCCTAAATTAAGGTGTCAAAATGAGGATCAAAACTGAAGTTTAGTACATTTTATTTCAAATCATAAATTAGATTTAATATTGTTTATTTTTATTATATTTCTTTTTTTATTTTTAGTTTTAAAATTATATTAATATTATTATCTTTATCTAATTTAATTTAGGTTCTCGTTTGTAAAACTTATATTTTTAAAATGAACTTCGTTTTTCATTTCATACTGAATTTATTTGATTTTAAAAATATATATCCATTTACTTTTAAAATTAGATTCAAACTTCATTAAAATTTATCGTTTAATTTTAAAATATCATTTTTTATTTTAATTTGTTATATATCTATTCAAATTTTTAGTTAACTTGGTTTCAATCATAATTATTATATCAAATTCAATTAGAATACCATTATGTTTATTCCATTCAATTCAATTTTCCATTTTAAACTCTAAATACATTTGAAACTAAAGTTTAAACAATTTTTAAATAAACGAACAATTGTTTTATTATAAAACCTCCGAGGTTAAAAGGAACATATGTATATATATATATATATATATATATATATGTTGAAAAAAACAAACATATGTAATCCATTAATAAAAAGAAACGTTGAAAAAAAAGGATATATATGATATGTAGTATATGCATGTGATATGTATTATGTATATATATACATGTGATTATGAAAATGAATATATGTATATGGTCCCCTCCCACGATGCGGCCTGAGAATTGCTTCAAAGGTCGACCAACCAGCCACGTGTACTCAAACCTGTCTTACATGTTTACAACCTGTAAATTCACTCCTTATTTCTTATTTTATTTCCTTTTCTCCAATTTTTAAAAAACCTTTTAAGCTGGTTTATAATTTGTTTAGGTATTTAAGTTTGGGTTATTCAAAATAATGAAAAATTAATATTTTTTATTAAAATTTAAAATATAATCAAATCTAAACTAATATTTATTTATATAAAATCATATATATATATATATATATTAAAATTTATAATACATATCATCATCATCACTATATATTACTGAATATATGCGATTCTTATATAAAAAATATAATTATTAAAGTGATTAAACTTGTAAATTGTGTAAAACATGATTTTTATATAATTTATAAGTTCATCGGTTGTTTGACCCGATTATATTTTTTATAGGATCATGAAGACCATATGAATGAGATTCTCCACGTGAGAATTCGAATCCGAGTTAGGAAGAAGCAAAACTCTTTTATTTACCGATTGAGTCATCTAGTATTGGGTAAAAAAATATAATATTTAGAACAAAAGTAAATTATAACAAAAAATTATTTCCTTGTGTAATTATATTTTCTAGTTAATATTTCTTTAGACATAGGAAATAAATTTTTAAAAAAATTACTTTTTTTTTTTGTGGTTTTGAGTTTCTTCTTCAAAACACGGTTTTCACTTTTTTTTTGGGGGGTAAAAATAGTTTATGAAAAAAAAAACCCTAAAATGTAGGGGGCGTTCAAAAAAGAGTCAAGTAAAGTCTCCTCAAGGCGAAAGGGTTATGCAATTGCCAATAATACACGCGAGAGAGACGGTGGCAGCGATCATTATTAATCTTGTGGCTAATATTATCATTGCCCCTCTAAAAAAAATATATACAAAAAAACAAAATCCAACCTTACATTAAGATATTGAAAATTATTTTTTAAATAATGGGGAGTCCAAAGACATTCTAACCTTCAATAAATAAGTGTGTGTATATATATATATATGTTGTATATATGTTTAAGGTGTTATCATTTTTTTATTGGATAATTTAAGGTGTTATCATTTTAAATTTTTAATACTGTTCAAACACTCCAATAAAAATATTTTTATATATAAAGGATATAGATTGATTTTATAACCGTTGTAAGATGCAGAAAAAACCTACTTGACGATTTTTAGGAGTCAGTTTAAGCTTCCGTACACTTCAGATTACAAATAAATTCGTTAATGTTGTATAATGCTACATTTTCTACGGAATAATATAAGCAAGAAAACTTTTAAATAAAAACTTTTATTTTAACTAGAGCAGATATTATGGACTTCGCTTTCTCTGTCAGATTTTTATTAAAAGATTGATTTTAAAAAAAAATAGTTTTTACAGTTTTTTATAGTTTTATGTTTGATTTGTTTAAAAATTATATATAATTAATTAATAATTCCGTATTATTCAATTTAACTCCTAATTCTCATATAGATAGATTGTCTCAGTAAAACTATGAAAACAATGATGATAAACACATTTTTTTACAATGTATAAATCTTTTTGCTTTAAAAATAATTCATTGTAATATTATATGGTGGCAGGCATAAAAAAATATGTTTTCCGAAATCGGGGAAATAAATAAATTTTAAAAAGAAAAAATATAATAAATACATAAACTGCAGATCCCTCTGTCCCCTTCCCTTCTCTCTATTTGCTTAGCAAAACGCACAAAAAAAGAATAGAAAGAGAGAGAACGAGAAGGAATGTCTCCTCGCAATCATAATCATCATCACCTTCTTCCTCTCCTGAGCTGAAACTCCATACGAGTTCCTCAGTCACTTACACACACACACGCACGCGCATATACAATACATATACTGAGGGAGGGAGAGGGAGGGGCTGTGGATTCGGCTTCTGAGATGGGAGGTGTGACGTCATCAATGGCGGCGAAGTTCGCGTTTTTTCCGCCGAACCCGCCGTCGTACAAGCTCGTCAGGGACGAAGCCACGGGACTTTTGCTCATGGACCCATTTCCCCACCGTGAAAACGTCGACATTTTGCGCCTTCCCACGCGCCGTGGAACCGAGGTCGTCGCCATGTACGTCAGATATCCCATGGCGTCGACGACCCTTTTGTATTCTCACGGTAACGCCGCCGATATCGGCCAGATGTATGAGCTCTTCATCGAGCTTAGTATTGTGTGCGTTCATCAATGGCGGCGAAGTTCGCTTTTTTCCCGCCGACCCCGCCGTCGTACAAGCTCGTCAGGGACGAAGCCACGGGACTTTTGCTCATGGACCCATTTCCCCACCGTGAAAACGTCGACATTTTGCGCCTTCCCACGCGCCGTGGAACCGAGGTCGTCGCCATGTACGTCAGATATCCCATGGCGTCGACGACCCTTTTGTATTCTCACGGTAACGCCGCCGATATCGGCCAGATGTATGAGCTCTTCATCGAGCTTAGTATTCACCTCCGCGTCAATGTCATGGGGTAATTTCTTATGTGCTTAGTGTTGCTTCTGATTCAGTGGTTTCTCGCTCTCCAGTTCCTGAGTTTTTGTTTCTAGGTTTTGGGTTATTTGGTTATTGTAATCGAGGTGGGTTTAAAATGTTCCGATTGGGTTTTCTCTCTGAGTAGGCTAAGGATCTAGCTCCCAAAATCATCTGGCTTCTTTCTTTTTGGTTTGTGAACAGATGTCGGGTTTCTATTTTGAGTAGATTTGAAGCACCCAGATGAGATTTTTGGCAGAAATCTCAGATTTCAGAATGCAGAAGCCAAGAATCTCTGTGTTGAAATCGATTGGGTTTGAGGTTACTGTGATGGGATTGAAGTGGATAGAAATACCCACACGAAGTTTGTGGCTAAAATTTCGCTTTCCTGGGTTGATTGAAAAGAGGGTTTGAATCTCTCATATGAAATTTTTTGGCTGCTTTCTGGTTTTCTACGTCTGTAAGACATTGGATCTTGCGGACAAAACCTTGTTGCGTCTTGGAGCTTTCCTCTTTCGGGTTCGTACTGATTCAGGAACTGTGTTGACTGTCAGGTCTAGAACACTGAAGTAGTTCTGATGGATGTATGAGTTTTGGTCTTTGGTAGATTGGTCAGAGTAGATTAGGGTTCTTGTTTAGGATGACAAATCTGATGACTTCAATAAACCCTTCTAGTTTTAGACATTCAAGATCTGTTTCTAAATTTAGCTTCTGCTGCATGTTTTCTCTTTTATTGGAAACAAGATCCAATACTTCAGTTACAATGTTGAGGAACAAATAGATTATCATCTGAAATAGTTCCAAAACCTTGGACTACAATGCTATTTACTTGAATCCTTGTGCATTCGGGTTAGATTTTGTTGATATCTATGTTGAAATTTACCTGAATTTACGTTGACTTCCATAAAATTCAGAACTCATCCTTTGGAATAACCTGTTAAGTGCAGCTGTTAACTGTTGCTGTACAATATGCAGAAAGAGATTTTCCCAAGATCATGCAATTCATGTTAATGTCCTCTATAATATATTCCGGTTTTGCAGGTATGATTACTCAGGTTACGGCCAATCATCTGGGAAGGTGAGTGACTCGAGATCTGAAAGTCGTTGGTTTTGTCATAAAAACACGGCCCGTGTATGATAAGGCACATGATTCTTTCTTGTTGCAGCCAAGTGAACAAAATACTTATGCTGATATTGAAGCTGCTTACAAATGTCTGGAAGAAAACTATGGAGCAAAGCAGGAGAACATTATCCTCTATGGTCAATCTGTGGGTAGTGGCCCCACCGTCGATCTTGCTGTACGTTTGCCTCGACTAAAAGCTGTTGTTCTTCACAGTCCGATACTGTCTGGGCTGAGAGTTATGTATCCCGTTAAGCGCACTTATTGGTTTGACATATACAAGGTAGACATGTTATTTCTGTATCTATACATATGTTGTCATTATCAAAAGCTTCACTTATGTGCATATGCTTTCTGTTTTCCCTGACTTCCGGGTTTTTTATTGTCTCCAGAACATTGACAAAATACAGTTGGTGAAGTGTCCAGTGCTCATAATTCATGTAAGTGTTTGTAATCAACATCCTTTTAGTCGTGAATTTATGAACTTTAGTGTAACATTGCTCGGTATGTCATTAGCTGATCATCAGTTTTCATGGCGAGAACTTGTTGAAATTCAGGGAACGGCTGATGATGTGGTCGACTTCTCGCACGGGAAGCAGCTCTGGGAACTCTGCCAAGAGAAATATGAACCCTTGTGGCTGAAAGGGGGAAACCATTGCGATCTTGAGCTCTTCCCGGAATACATTCGCCATCTCAAAAAGTTTGTGTGTGCAGTCGAGAAATCACCTTCTAGAAGAAGCATCTCTTCTTCTAGAAGGAGCATAGATGGGTATGAACCTCCGAGGCACAGCACAGATAGGCCGAGGAAGAGCACAGACCGAAGAGCGTGGATAGGCTGAAGTTCCACGAATACAAGTTCAGCCACGTGGAGAAACCCGAGAAGCTGAAGCTCCCCTTCGAGGAAATGGAGAGGTCGAGGAGAAGTGTGGATGTATGCAGGGATAAGTCTCACAGAAACGTCGAGCAGCCGTTTGAGAGAGCTCGAAAGAGCGTGGATTGGTTGGACAGAACTCGGGTTACTGAATAGGAGGAGGAGGAGAAAGGGTATCATCAAAATCGTTTCTTTTGTAAAAATTTCGCTGGAGTGTTGTTCAAATTATTGGGTTTCAGGGCTTTTGTGATGTGGGTTTTTTTTTTTAATTTTATGTCAAAGATGGATTCAACAGAAAGATAGAGAACCACCATGTTTGGTATGTTCTTCCTTGCCATTGTTGTTGATGTATTGTTGTGGGACGAGGTGAAGACCAGAAACTCTTCATAGGCTACTTTTATGTATTAGAGAAATGCGGTGGTATGACTTGATTGACTAAGGTTCTTTCTACATATTGGTACGATTAGGCTCGAGCCCCGAAGTTCGGTCCGAGTCCATCCGAAAAATATCGAGTCTTGGACCTAAGTTTTTCGACCCGAAAAAAATTGGGTTTTCGAAGCGGGTTTAATTCGAGTTTCGACTCCGATTCGAATAGAAAAAAGAAAAAAAATAAAATTACATGTGAATTGAATGTGTTGACCCGATCTAGTCCGATCTGAACCTGAAACTTATAGGGTCGGGTTTGGATTTGATTATATAGGTCCGAAAAAATCTGATCGACCCAAACCTGAATCCAAAACTCTCGGATCGAATGCAGGCTCAAACCAAATCAGGTTGGGTCGATCTGATTGACATGCCTAACCCAATCCGGCCCGATTGACACATCTAAATGCAATCATAACAAAATTTATAAAATCAAAGCGTAAATTTTTTATATAGATTTTGACAATGTTTGAATAAAAAGAACAAACACTATGAAAACGTTCATATTCGCAACCGAAAATGCAGTGGTATAATCAGTCGTATTTTATTCGTTATAGATTTTTGTTTATCTTATGGTTGTATTGTGTATACAATGGTGGGTCCTTAAAAGTATAATCAAATAGAATAATATTTCTGAATAAACACATCTATTTCTTTTTTTTCAAACAAATTTAATAGAATATTAAGGGAATAACATTAAATATGAAAACAGGAAAACTGATACGAGTATAATTTATAGAGATTATATGTAAAAACGAATGGATATATTTTTTCAATTTTAAATATTTAAAATCGAAAATAAGTAAATTCAAAATAAATCCGAACTTGAAATATCAACGCCACTGTAAAAATTTTGCGTAATGGTCAATGTTGAAATTCAAGAATATTGGTGTGTGCATATATCTGGTAGTATTTTTCATGTTATTATGTGATATAATGTAATGTGTTCATGAACAAATGAAGCCAACTAGTGTCGTCATGCTCATGTTTTGCTCGGGTTTAAAAGAAAATTAATATAGTTAAACACATTATTTGGATAATCTCTAGAGGTTTGACAACAATCATATATAATTTTTATTAAATTAAAATTTTAAATATATAGTTATGGTTATACAAAACAAATCCATTACAATATTATAAAAAAAAATAGATTTTTTATTGAAATACATGCATGATTCATCTAAAAATTTTATTAGTGAGCAACAAATTAATCACGTGAGGCCCAATAAGTGTCACTTATAGGCCCATATTTGATTACGGGCTTAGCGTGAGATTTATTTATTTATTTATTTATCTTTGCTTTTTTTTCCCGTCTTTTAAATTACTATTTGAAGATACGCTCCTCTTATCCCTTGTGCTACAGACTCGGAGATTTCCAAACCCTAACCCTAGCCTTAGATTTCCAGATCCATCGTCGCTCAGTTCTTAGGTATCATTTCCACTCAAATTCTTACTAGATCATCTCTTGTTGTTGTCATTTCTACTGAATTTTTCTGTTATCGGTTGAGTTACGAGCTCGAAAACCCTAAACTTCATATAGTTTCCAGCGCTTTTTGTTCTCGATGGGTATATGCATACATTTTCCGCTGAATCTAGAGGTTCTGATCTGATTTTGTTTGATGTATTCAGTATGGGAGACACTAGAGACAACGAAGCCTACGAGGAGGAACTTTTGGACTACGAGGAAGAAGACGAGAAAGTCCCCGATTCTGCTGGAAACAAAGCCAATGGCGAGAATGGCAAAAAGTTAGTGGTTTTTATCTTTAAATATGTTTGTAAAGAAATTAGGTTATTTAGATTCGACATTGTTGCAATATTTTCGCATGTAAACAGCACAAATGTCCATCATTTGTTTTCATCTTAAGTTAAGTAGTTAGGCAATTTGTTAGTTCTTCTATGGGAAAGTATATGGTGTAGAAGTGTGATTTGTGGTAATTCTTATTGGAACTCTTTAGCCTTTTCTGATTGCTTTTACTTCTTTTACGCAGAGGTTATGTGGGAATACACAGTTCAGGATTCAGAGACTTCCTTTTAAAACCTGAGCTTCTCCGAGCTATTGTTGACTCAGGGTTTGAACATCCTTCTGAAGGTAAGAATATCTCTCTCCTCACCATATTTCTTTCTTTTTGTGTTCTTTCAGAGAAGTTTGTTAGGGATGGACTTGAGTTGATATGTAAATGTGTGCATCTGAGTCGACTCGTGGGCATAATTCTCTGTGATATGATTTATAGATATTTTTGGGTAATCTACTGCTGAGAAGAATTGGTGCTGTGGGAAAGAATATATTGTGTTATTTCTTGTTGACTCTGAGTCACCTCACTAAGATCGAAACAATTTGTGGAATTAAATTTTGTTTTTATTTTTAGGGCTATACTTTCTATTTTCTCTTATCATTTCTTTTTTGTTCTTTTTACCTATTGACTTTATTCTGAATTTACTGTTTTCAGGTAAAAATCTATTTCAAAATATTGATTTGGAGCCAACTTGCCGTTTGGTAAACCCATCCATTTAAAGGACAGGGACGGTATAGTTTACTCATAAAGGGTTGCTTCGGTGCAATTTTCTTTGGTCGCAGCCACATATTATTATTATTATTATTATTATTATTATTATTATTATTATTATTATTATTATTATTATTATTATTATTATTATT